ACTGCTGTTCGTAACAGAGCCATTTGGAAGTTAGCTTAGATGTATTTTCCCCAGCTTCTGTGTGGATCGTGACCTGAAACCCTCAGGCCTATGCTGGCGTTTTTAATATCGCTCCTTCACATGTTTATTAGCGTTTCCAAACTTGTGTAACTTTATTAAGGTACGTTTTTTCCATGTCGTGAGTATTCCACTTTGGCATGTTTTTCGGGTATTTCATTATGCAAAATTCAAGTGTCAAATTGTCAAATTGATAACCGTTTGCCACATTCAAGGTTTATTAGTGACTCCTAGACAATAGAGATTTTAACTAAATTTAAATCATATCCAGGCACAACATGGGAATTAGACTCAGTACACACTAGGCTGAAGTCTCCCTGACAGCCGATCATGTCTGTCATCAAGTGCAGTGCTTAATTAGTGCAATTCATAATTTGAAGATATGAGTAGTTGTCTTTCAAGCCTCAATGACGTACTTTATAGAAGTATGACTGACCATTTCTTACAAATAGGGATCAGAAAGGAAATTTGTTCAAAAAGCAGTATAAGATCGGTATCCCTTCCCAAGGTATTCCAAACACGAGTTTATGTGGAAACTGATTTAGCCAAAATAAAAGGCGTTTCAAATGGAATGATGATGTTCGAACGCGTATTCTGATGAGAGAGATAAGACTATTATCGGGAAAGCGTCCAAAAGCGATTCTTAGAAACACTGCCATACTGATCCAGGCAAAAAAAGCAGAAGCAAAATAAAATTAGAATGTGGTCTTTGCATTACATGATTATCGAAGAAGAGCTTAACTATGCTTTGTATTGTTTGTGCATGGTGCAGGAACAGCCATGAAGCTGTTATGCCATGATGCTTTTCATCGCACCTTCTGTGTCGTATCTAAAGGCAGCTATTCATGGTCGCTCGTCCTTCTTCAAACGTTGAAAGATCGTTACCTTGTCAGCCATGCCACTGATCGTCTGAAGGCGTCCAGTATCTCATCCTACGCTCAACTATGCCTGAAAAGTCGTCCACGGTGCCGCTCAGTGAATTATGGGAAGAAGATGAACAGACAATTTGTGAGTTAAATGATAAACCATTAGAGAGCACTGATTCAGAGTCTTCTTCCTTTGTTTCTATGCCTGGATCTATTTTTACCCAGCCTCTGAATTTTGAGGTTAGAACAGATATGAAAACATTGAGATGGCCGTAACTTTTGCAGAGCCATAGTTGAGAGTGCTATGTTTTTCGCCATATAAATATATATGTATATATGCACGATCCTTCGCAGTAAAGCACTATTTGAGAAATAGTGAAAATCAGACCTGAAAAAAAATTTAGGCCTGTACGGGATTCGAACCACTGACCTCTGCGATATTAGTGCAGCGCTCTACCAATTGAGCTAACAAGCCAACTGGGAGCAGGCCATCAAATTAATTCGACATAAACCCGTAGATGATAAATCAAACAACAACAAACATATGAAACATATGTATGAACTGCGGTTATGAAACGTATATATGCACGATCCTTCGCAGTAAAGCACTATTTGAGCAATAGTGAAAATCAGACCTGAAAAAAATTTAGGCCTGTACGGGATTCGAACCACTGACCTCTGCGATATTAGTGCAGCGCTCTACCAATTGAGCTAACAAGCCAACTGGGAGCAGGCCATCAAATTAATTCGACATAAACCCGTAGATGATAAATCAAACAACAACAAACATATGAAACATATGTATGAACTGCGGTTATGAAACGTATATATGCACGATCCTTCGCAGTAAAGCACTATTTGAGCAATAGTGAAAATCAGACCTGACAAAAAAAATTTCAGGCCTGAATATCCCAGGCGTTCTGTGGGGGCGTTCGTAAACTAGAGGAGACTCAAGAGACTTCGTAAACTAGTGGAGACTCAATAGACTTCAAGCATCAGCAAAAGAAAAGGTGAGGAAGAGTGGACAGGAAAGTGCATTAAGTAAGCATTGTGATGTCCGTTGTCATGTGGAAGTGTATCCATATTCTCCTTACTTTAAAAAAGGAATGTTTGATGCGTAATACATGTATACATCCTTCGAATACAGAAGGCTAAAGTGCATCAGCGAAAACTAAAGAGACATTCTATAAGTAAATTTCAATAGAACGAGTGAGTTACTTGAGTGAAATTTGCACAGTACATTTACAATGATATCCTTCTCCTAGAAATACGATTTTGATCAACAGCTATATTGGTTACATTCAACTAAAGAATGACTTCATGAAGGAATACGTCTTCCTTGGTATCCTTCCTAAGTCAGCTGCAAACAAGAACACAACCCATGGTTTCAAATCCAACGGGGCCATAATTCAGTTTGAAATCTGTGGCGGATGTCCCAGCACCTTGTTTGCGTTTCTGCCAAACCGAAATCGTGAGAACTCCAGTAGCTATCTTCTGGGTTCAGAGTACGAAAATACCGGTGTAGCCGTTGACTGGCGTTCCACGGCAACAGCAATCACAAATCCACAGCGAAAAAAACCACAGACGCTCCACTTCTTGACAGTAGTTCATTTTGGAGGTTGTGGTGTTTACACCTCTACTGACCGTTAGAGTAAATATAGCTTTCACGCAACTGCGATTGGAATTCGTTGTTCAAAACATTTATTTAGAAATATTTGCTCACTAATGGCTTAACGAAGACTTTTAAGTTACTTGTTATTAACAGATAATGTAGAAACTTCCAGTATGGTTGAGTTTTGTAGTTGAGTTTTTTCGAGGTTGACTGACTGTCTGTGTGGTTGTTTCTGTTTGTTTCGAACTGTTTGGCCAAGACGGTGCGTAATTTTGATAATATAGATCATGCATGTATTGATAGAGCCTCACTGGATGTTAAATCTATCAACAAATGGTTCCCCTTTTCAAAAGAAATGATCGAAAGAGGGTTGTGTCCAAGGTAATCATATTAGGTTAACGCAACTGGAGCTTGATAAATTTAACAAAATACACCTTGCCATTGCTTTTTTTGCGCTGATATCCGGACTTGAGATGACTTCATTCCATGGCAAGTTGGGTTTCTTGTGCTTCCTCGTAAATTATTCCATACGACGTATTCAACGAGACGTGCAAGAATTAAATAGCTCTGTATCCCTCTTTCATCATCTCATGGTGTGCTGAACTTGTACTATGAATGAGGATGCATTAGGGAGTAGCGGTAGTATAAAACAGCCATGCCATAACACCTTCTAGGATGCAAATGTTGATTGCCGTCAAAATGATGCATGGACAGATAAAGCTGTTGTATTTTATCTATAACACTGCTAATCATTTTTTCATTTAAGGGAAAGTATTATCGGTAAAATGACAGGGTATTTAAGCCTAGGCATTGTGTATGTTTCCTTGTAAATGTATGTTTCTATTGTAACTTGGTAGCTCAAGAAATAAAGCAGGTCATTGTTATCTATTTTAAGGCGTTTTTCAACATGTTGTTTTCAGAAATGTACATTGTGATTTTCTGAAAATTAGTATCGAACATTGGTGATTGGTCTCGATTTTCACCCTTTTCATTGGCAACTCTTTCGTACCTCTCCAAAACACTTCAAAATGAACATTTTCGAGACTATATGCTGGCAGCGAAAAAGCAGATGTATTTCCCGATTGACTTCCAATTGAAATTTTTATTTACAAAACGAGTAAAAAAAAATGTTACCATAGAAAAACCCTCTACAGGGAATGCTAGTTTCATCGAACTTCAAGGATCGCTATCTTTGAATCATTAACTTAACTAATTATATTTTAATCCACCATGCCAAAACGACACATAGAGCTCGAATTTAGGATTTCTGGTGAAAAATTGCACCATCGAGCGAGCAGAGTGCGAGTTGAACAGCGGTTGTATTGAGGCAATTGGAGTGTGGTCTGCAAAGACCAAGTTGCTTAAACATCTTTGCAGACGATTGAAATAAACAACAATGAGGTCACGGTTCTAAAAGAGTTGAAGCAGCCTCTGCTTTAAACCTCATCGAAGCAACACAACAATAGTCATCATGAATAAGACAGAAAAAAAAAACAAAAGAAGCCAAAGTGTAACTTAACAACAGAGTTCACTTCAAACCTCTCAAAGCACCGATAGTGAAAAACACGCAGGAAAGCGGTTAATGAGATCATTGACAAAATGCATCGGGGCAAACACATTTATGGCTTAGAAATGGCTTTCTTTCACAAACTTCTAATATCCACCTTGATATACAATCAGCCATTGCCGAAAACAATTTTTATGTATCACTCGATCATTTCTTACAAAAAAGGAAAATCCCTTACGACTAGCAAAAATACAATTCCAAGGCGATAAAGCGATGCGACCACAAAAGCCTCATGGGGAGTCCTTACCGTTCTGGATTTATCTTTGTTCGCATGACAAAAATTCATCGTTTGCGGGCACAAAACTATCCACAAAAGCTTCATATGATTTCTGGGACAATTCATCTTCAGACAAAGTCGACATTTCACGACTGACAACGAAAAATTTTTCAAAAAAGCACTATGTGCAATTTTCTTTGCGGCGAACAAAGAGAGTTGTGACAAAGGCAACCATCACTTTGTTGAGCCTTTAACGTTATGATGACGTTTTCTACTGTACAATTGCGGGCTCGGCTGAACCATGTTTTCAGCACTGACAGACGATTTTTGGACGACTTTGCAGAGATAAAAATTGGTCATTGACAGTTTGTTTTGAGTTTTTAATGGCCAAAAGGGTTTTAATTTGACCCAATTCAACATTCTGTAAAAACTTTAGCCCAAAACAAAATGGTCAAGATCAATTTTCGTCTCAAGGGCACTTTAAATTTATCAAACAACTCTGACTAGCCTCCCTTCAAGAGAAATAGGAAAACTGTCTCTTTAAGGCTATTCCACAAAATACAAACATATCAATGTTGACTGAATCTGCGATCCTCCAACAACAACAAGAAGTAAAAGAGAACAACACCCTAAAAAGATTTATCATTGAACTGTGACATAAAGTAATTTATTTCCCAACAGTTTAACCTATCTTACGGACATTTATTTTATTATGTAATTTCTACATGCATAAGCTTAAAATAGTCACCAATTTATCCTTTTATCAAAGTGCACTTGAGTTCAGATTTTCTGTTAATCTCGTTCAGATGTATATGCCTGATACCGCAATTTCCTTTACGCAATTGGATTTCCCTGCCAGTATTGCGAAATACAGCATTTTCTCTGCAAATTTTTATATCAAGAATCGTTAAGAGAATATCACAATGAGGTTATACTCGTGTCTTTTTTTCTTCGTGTCAAAAGGCACTGTATCAATTCAAAAGGCAATGGAAGATTTAAGATTTAAGCGCTACCTAATACGGTTTTGCGAAGAAAAGAAATATTTTCAGGACTTAGCTATTTGGATAAACTATGAAAGTAGGATTTAAGATTTTTTGTTCTATTCTAATCTAAGTGTTTGTTTTCATTTGCTCCCATGGTATTCCTTTCTCACGCTGATTTGAATGCATTAATAATGCTCTAAAACTTCAATTAAAAAAGAATAGCTCTTTAAGAAAAATTAATCAAAACTTACATCATTACCTTCACATTTCATCAACCCAAAGAATATTTACAAATAATACCTTCCCAGCTTCCAATATCCAGGTACTGAGATTACAACGTTGTACATTATTAATCTATCTTCCTTTGCCTTTAGAAGCTGAAAAGTGTTCTTAGTCACCATTAAAAAGAAATCTGCAAATCTGCAATCACAACGTTTCTTCAACTGAGTAAAAGCAGAGGCGGATCTAGGGGGAGGGTGCAGGGGGTACGCATCTCCCCTCCTGAGATGACCTGCGGCTTTCTAATACAAGCGGTATTCTGCTATTACAATTTGTTTACCTCCGGTCACCAGTCAGTTACGCCATTCTTTAGTGATGCATCCCCTATTCAAAAAAAATCCTGGATCCGCCCCTGAAAAGTGTCCCGTAAAATAAAAATAGAGTCCTAATGGTAATGCCCCAGTTTCTCCTGATGGTTACGAAAGCTGTAGTTGCCACACACGCCAAATTAATTCACTTCTGCTACGAAGAGGTAGTTGCCTTATAAGAACTTGAAATAGGTGTGGCCTAGCAAGAAATTCCACTGTGACATTATGACATAAACCTCTTTTCTTGGAGAATATATTTCACATGCGAACTTTTCGTCTGAAAGACAACGGGTGGGAGTGATGAATAATAGAGTCCTTGTGGTTAATACGCCTATTGGAAATAAAATGATCTGTGCCAAATAGCAAGTACAAAATATCTTATCAAGCTCTAACTGAAAAGTGGTAACAGCCATCTTAAATCTACGGACCGACTAAGTTTTAGCGGATTCCAATTGCTGTAGAGTTAAAGCCAAATTTAGACCAGCGATCGCTAGAAGTATAACAACCACAGCCTCCAAAGTGAACTTCTGTCAAAAAGAAAAACCTTTTTGGCATTTTGTGCTCGGGAAACGTGATGAGTTTTGCCTTAGATCGCCAGTCTACGGCAACACCTTCTCTTTCATACCTTGACTTCTTAGCATGCCTGTTTGGTGTCTGACCATCTCGATTTGGCATAAACGCAAACAAGCTGTTGGGATTTCCGTCGCAGTTTTTGAATTGAATCATGTCTCCGTTGGATTTGAAACCCTGGGTTGTATTTTTATCGGCAACAGATTTCGGAAGTATGCCAAGGAAGATATATTCTTTCATGCAGTAGTTCTTCGGTCTAGTGTAACCAGAGAAGTTGTTGACCAAGACACCAGAACCAATGTTGGAGTAATCTGGATGGAGCTGAATCAGAGTGTACCACTCGCTATCATCGACTTCTTTCATTAACTTTAGCAACACGTTTGCCTTGTCTTTAAGGAGAGAATTGACAATCTGTTGAGGTTTTGATCTGAGTGTGAGGCTGCGAGGAAGGAAACTGAAACCACCACCAGCAATGTCAAGTTCACAGTATACCTCAATAGGCTCAACATTTGGCAAAGGGTCAATTAAATGTACGCCGCTTTCCGCCTTTGGATATCTTCTTTTAATTTCTTGGCAGTCCTTGAATAGACATTGCTGAATTCAAAACGAAAAATAATTGAGAAGTGAGATCTTCGTCGAAATCATTCCCTAAAGGCGTTCTTTCTCGGAACAGCTCAAAGCAGAAGCTGCAGATATCGATAAAAAAGGAACGAAATGGGAAACTTAAATCCGGATATAAGAACTTTTAACTTCCACAGTTGAGCGCTATTATCAAACGCTTAGTTAGAATTACAGGAGCGGGTACCAAGAAGAAACCTCCACAGTCTTTAATCGTTTTCCTTTTTTCACTGATGCAACGTTTTTTACCTCTATTAAAAACTTATAAAATGACCTCACCTGCCACATTTTCAAAGTAAAAAAAATTACCTTTCCTTTCCTTATTTGCTGATGCACGAACCCCAAGGAGTGGATAAGAAGCCGATCTCCGTAGCTCAGTAGTTCAATTCCACAATCGTTTAACTTACATAAACCTTTCGCACCCTTTGATCTCTCGTAGTTGTATGAGATGCATCCTGGCTCGTCATGACAAGCCTGAATACAGTTTAACCAGTCTCTGGCGAAGAACTGTTTGAAGGCATACCCTACTAGAACACGGTTATTTTCTGTCGATTGACACAGTGTCCAAGTGATCTCTTGATTCAAAACCAGAATGAAAGTAAAACTTAAAAGCTTCTCAATCATCTTAAAAGTAAAAAGGAATAGAAAGACAAGGAATGGGATCTTAAATGCTAATCTGGCGAACGACGAAAGAATAACGTTTGTTTATCAAAAAACACCTGTCTATTTTCAGTTCTAATCCATTCTGTCTCATACGTCAACTTACCAACCAAATAAATTGCACATTAAGAAACTTAATCTAAATGGTGCTAAAAACTAGTGTATTCTTATTGAGATAGAAAGCAAGCCAATTGTAGTCACCAACAACAGCGTTACTTCATAGCTAGTAGAAAAAATAGAGACCACACAGCACGATTACATTCTTTCCCGCAAATGTTGGATACATTATTCAAAACGTGCACAAAACATGGTGTTTCTGAATTCTGGAATAGCTTATGGGGACTGTGGCTCAGAATTAATTGTGCGCCACAGGCATTACACGAAATCGGTTGGAAACAATACATGTAAACCACCGACGTAAAACGAACTTTAAACAAGTGCTCTCGTGTACAAAGACAGGTCAAAAAGCCGAAAATTTAGAATTGTGCCCTGAAAATTCAAAATACAAATTAGTTGGCCTAACTGAAACCAAATAGACAAAATAATTAGTGCGCGACTCACCGTGCTTTTAAGAGGCAGCTGATTCCGAGTCATTTCTAAAGAGTTTTATGTAAATTTTCTCAAAACAAAATAATATTAAAGGTGGTAAAACGTCTTCGGTTTGAATTTTAAAAATAATATATGTTGATTTAGGATATATCACTATTTAAAGGAATGAATTCAGGGCCTATCCAGACAACGAGTAATACTTGATCCTGTGACTTTGCTTCATCCGAAAATTCGGAATTGCATATTCCAGTTGATGGGTTTCTTTATCTTCATCACCTGTCGGGTTGACAACTTGTTGGGAGAAAGTATAATTTGACGGAAATATGCCTTTATGATCTACGACGTGCTGATGAATATGCTACTACTGCACTTTGATAATCACGAAGCCTCTCGTAACCCCCTTTAAACACATCACGCTACATACGAATTTTGATATAAGAGCTTTATTATAAAGCAGGCGACGTCAATGGCAAATGCAAATGCCACTGCTTTCGGTCCATGCAAGTCCTTAGATCAGTCTTTTGCTTGATCTAATCACATGCCACTCTGATTTTTACTTCACAGTCGGACAAAAGTGGGAGAAACAACTCTATTCCAAGCTTTGTATTCAGAATTAAATCGACGCTGTCCAGGTTCTCCGCCTCCGCTAATATCAGGATGCTCCACGACATATTAGGCCTCATAGACTCTTTTGGAATACCCACTAGAAGTTTTGTTCCCTTTTCTCTTCTATCTAGAGTTTACTTTCGTCCCTACTTAGACCCCGGTCAATTCCTTTACGTCATGCAAAGACATCTAGCACCCTTGCCTTGAAAAGGTGTTCCCCTTTTTTCGTATTTCAATTATTTGTTCGGCTTTTGATTCGTTCATGTATTGCTTAGTTTTTTTTTTTGTTTGTTTTGTTTGTTTTTTGTTTTTTTTTTTCTTCCATTATAATAATCATTTTAGGATATAAAAAAGCCCTCGATTTCTTGTTTTACCACGAAATTTCAAGGTGCAACAACATTCTGAATGGTGTAACGGTAGCGAGTGGCACATTTAAAATAATGATCACAAACTCGATGCCTTAGTTTTGGAGCAAGTGGTGGACTTTGCAAGGACCAACCATAAGAAACTGACAAGGACCAACCATAAGAAACTGAGGTTGTTTTCCGTAAAAACGTAGAGGCTATGTTTACATAGTGTTTTCAAAACACCCAAAATTATTCGGTTAAAACCCTTTTTGTAAGCACCCGTACCTGAAGTTAGTTCAAATCGTACTCAGCCTTTTCTTGTAGTGGCAAGAATAAATTAACCACATTTGGTTAGTCAGATTATATTTCATTCAAGTACAATTGCTTATTAGGAGGGAAGGCCTTTCTACGTACCTGGGTGTTCTCAAATTTCAAAAAGTACCAATCAACAACAGAATCTCTTGCAACAAAAGTGAATACGTACATAAACGTTCTGTTTATTTACAGGTTGAAAGTGTTAAGTCCTACTACAGCCGGAGTGTTTATGACGGCAGCTTCATGGTTTTCAATTCTTTTAGAAAGGCTGCCTTGCATTAGGGTGAGTATTTGGTATTGTACTTTTTTTTNGTGTCAACGAAGATCAAACAACAGAATCTTATGTACACAGACAAGTCAATAGGCCGACAATTTAAAGTTAGAAGCCTTGGCAAAACAAAATGAGAAATTTTTGGTTTGGTTACAAGATAATGCGTTATTCCAATTAATTACAGTTATTAGACTGTGCTTTTAAGACGCAGCTGATTTAAGTCATTTCTAAAGTGCAATTAATTTTTTTGGAAATTTGCTCAGAAAAAAAAGATAGGATAGACGATAAAAGGTCTTCTGTTTGCAATTCAACATTTTTGTATTTCAAATATTGTCGAGCGGGAATTCAAAGTCTCTCTAGACCACAGAGAGCGAATTATCTATCCTATTATAACCACGATCTAAGGACTCATTTTTTTTTTACCTTCGGGCTTTCGAACATCATCGGGTCTGAGAATTTGGCGTTCATCTCCTAATTGATGCCTATCTTTCTAATTGCGACCTGTCTGGTTATCAGTTATCCAAAGTTTTGCTGAGAAAGTATGAATCGACCAATGTTAAGCTTTGACTTAAAATGGTCTAGAAAGGTTCTATTACTTAATTGAAAATAGCCTGTATGACACTCGAAGGGGTACTGATAAATATGTCAACATCACACATCAGTATTTATTTCCACAGTATATACCATTTTGATTAAAGGACGATTGATCCCACTTTTTTTATTAATTGTTCTATTTTGGTAGAATTATTACGTGTAAAGTTTTTCCTTTGCCTCCTCTTTTTTTTTTTTTCTTTTTCAATTTTACTGGCTAGAAGAAAAAAGGGCTCTCAATTTCAAGTGTTGATGTAGGATTATGAATGGATGCAGCGGGTAGATGCAGTCATTGATGACTTTGTGTTTGCTATCTCTCCCTCTCTCCCCTCAATTAAAACCTGCGGTAATAGATTGATACGTGACCCACTTTTGCTAACAAACAGCAATCTGCCGAGAAGATCAAGGTAATACAGTGGATCTCTGTTTCTTTATGATAAGTACAAATGTTGGTTTACTGGATAAAATGCGGTATGTATGCCGCGAAGAGAATTCTCTTACTGTACCACGCCGGAACAATACTTCAAGTAAAGGGGTTGATCCTTTTTGTGACAGAGGCACCTAGGAAGGGATTTGCACACACTCTGTTCTGCATTCTCATGTTATTTTTCTTGCTCGTGGAGAATTCTTGTGCCACGATTTGGAGTGAACGCGATACGGATCACGGTTAGTTCTTCCAGGGTTCTTGATGCAGGATTGATCCTTTCGATCTGACGGTCGATCTTTTCGACTGACCAACCTCCCGTCAGTCTCTAACATCACAGAAGTAAAGTGGGGATCAATTACATTACAAGCATATTCGTTGCAAAGGAAAGAAATAGAGGCCCTGANTACTTACAAAACAATAATGATCGTAAGAGCGATGGTCCAAAGTCTTTATTTTTAAATGTAGTTTAGAAATACTTGACCAACAAAAAGAGCTGTGCGACCTGTAGAAAATTAGAAAGCAGATGCATTTCAAGACGAACTAATTCTATTGGGCAAACCATCTTGCAATTAGCATTCCCTCTGTATAAATTTTGTTTATCAGCTAAGTATTGCGGAAAGTTTCTTACGCGTTGAAGGTCGTTTAAAATCCACTCATTTCTAGTTTATGACCTGTGCGGAATAAGGGTCATTAAATATCGAAGAAAAGTTTTGAACAAATACGAAAGACAGAGTTTACAGCGTCGCCCGGCTATAATTGTTTTGGATATTAGTTCATTACGCCGCGGGCATTACCGGACATTAGACAGAAGTTATTGTTGACTGCCGTCGACTGACAACACAATCTCTTCGGGTTTACTTATGCGGGGAGAAAAATCAATAAGTCGAAAACCTTAGAGCTATAAAACATACAAATACAAAGTGCAAGATAACTGGTTTAGCTACAGAAGAGTGCTGAAATCTGATTCCATTTACTAGACAATGCTTTCAAGAGGCAGCTGGTTTTGAGCTATTTTAAGAGGGAAGCTTGGCTTAAAATTTTGAAATAGCTGGTTAAACGTCGGCTGTTTGCAGTTAAATATTAATTTGTTATATATTAAAGACAATATCAAGGTTTTCAAAAGTATGAATTAATTAAAGACAAATGTATACCGTAATGAACCTATTCTTCATCTTTTACCCCTTCAACTAAAAATGCGATATTTGGTACTTTTTGCCATTCGCTGGGCCCGAGAATTGGGTGGAAACTCTCTTACTTTAAGCTTCGTCTTTCTCTATCACCTGTGTGCTTGATGAATTGCACACAGGTGATAGAGAAAGCCTTTCGCGAGAAAAACACTTATAGTGTGATTCAAAATTTGAATGGCCTTACATAACTGGAGTTTGAATCCCCATTGTCTTATTATTAGATGAACCAAATGTTCAAAACCTGAAGCAGTAATCTTCGGCCGAGAAAGTTTAAGGTTATTAAGAAACTAGGGAAAGGCTTTCAAATTGGTACGCCCATTCCAAAATGAATTATTTTTCTTGTCAAGTACCTTAATCTCTTTCGTGTAAGTATAGGCACAAAACCATTACGGAATATGTCGTTAAAAGCATAGCTTAACATCAGCTGTTTCTCAATAGCGCTTTCTGCTTTGGAAAACAATTAGAATAATATATTCTCCTCTAAAAAGTCGATTAAATGTCATCTTGGTCTAATATGGTTCATTATCTTCAACCGTATATTTACTGTCCACCTGCTGCCACCAGTCTTCACAGATGGACTCTCTAATTGTTGTTCGTAACAGAACCATTTGGAAGTTAGCTAAGAAGTATTCCAACTAGTTTCTGTGTGGATCGTGACCTGAAAACCATCATGCCTTTGCTGGCGTTTTCAAAATCTTTTCTTCACATGTTTATTAGAGTTTCCAAACTTGCGTAACTTTATTAAGGTACGTCGACTTTGGCATGTTTTGCAGGTATTTCATTAAGCAAAATTCAAGTGTCAAATTGTCAAATTAATAACCGTTTGCCACCTTCAAGGTTTATTAGTGACTCCTAGACAATAGATATTTGCACTAAATTTATATCATATCCACGCACAACATGAGAATTAGACTTTTTGGAGGCCCGCTATATTGCAGCACGTAAAGTATTTTTCGATTATTAGAGACATCTTGGAGCACCGTAGTAAGTCTTCTTGGAGAAAGAAGAAAGCCGCAGGGAGAAAGAAAAATATTGTCATTTCCAATCGCAATTCGACTCCGCCGTTTTTTTGGCTTGTTTACGTCCTAAGTGGAGAAAGAGGAACACTCTTGATCTCTACATACGTCCTACTTTGTAAGTTCATCACTCAGTGATATTAATTAGGTTGCTAATTTAATCATTAGAGAACTTGCAGAAGTGCCCTTCAGTACACACAGGGCTTGAGTCTCCCTTACAGCTCATCATATCTGCCATCAAGCTTAAGTGCGGTGCTTAGTGCAATTCATAAATTTGATGATATGAGTAGTTGTGCTTTCCTCACTGACGTACTTTATAGGCGTATGCTTGACCATTTCTTACAAATAGGGATGAGAAAGGAGAATTTGCCCAAATACCAGTATAAGAACGGTATCCCTCCACAATGTATTCCGAACACGAGTTTATGTGGAGACTGATTTAACCAAAAGAAAAGACGTTTCAATGGAATAATGATGTCCAAACGCGTATTCTGATGAGAGAGATAAGACTATTATCGGGGAAGGGTCGAAAATCTTTTCTTAGAAACACTGCGCTATACTGAGCCACGAAAAAAAGCAAAAGCAAAATAAAAGTAGAATGTGATCTTTGCATTTCGTGATTATCGAAGAAGAGCTTAACAATGCTTTGTATTGTTTGTGCATGGTGCAGGAACAGCCATGAAAGCTGTTATGATGATGCTCGTCATCGCACCTTCTGTGTCATATCTTATGGCAGCTATTCTTGGTCACTCGTCCTTTCTTCAGACGGTGAAAGATCGTTACCTTGTCAGTCATGCCACTGATCGTCTGAAGGCGTCCAGTATCTTATCCTGCGCACAACTCTGCCTGAAAAGACGTGCATGGTGCCGCTCAGTGAACTATAGGGAAGAAGATGGACAGACAATTTGCGAGTTAAATGATAAAGGATTAGAGAGCTCTGATTTAGAGTCTTCTTCCTTTGTTTCTATGCCTGGATTTATCTTTGCCCAGCTTCTAAATTTTGAGGTTAGTACAGATATGAAAGCATTGAGATGACCGCAGCTTTTGCAGAGCCATAGTTGAGAGTATTTTATTTTTCGCCATATTAATACAAGATGGATAGATAGATAGATAAATAGATAGATAGATAGATAGATAGATAGATAGATAGATAGATAGACAGATAGATAAAAGACCATGTTATATGAAAATTAATCAACTGAAATCTTGGCAATTGTCATTTCAGTTTCCAATTTCTACATATACACGGCTGCCACAGACCTGACTCCGTATTTGATCGATCAATTCTAGCATTAGTCTTGTTTTAGCGCAAAATTACGCTGTTTTTTTCTATCCCGAAATGCTTGCCATCGTGCAAAAAATATCCCAGGCGTTCTGTTTGGGGCGTTTGTAAACTAGAGGAGACTCAACAGACTTCGTAAACTAATGGAGACTCAATAGACTTCAAGAATCAGCAAAAAAGAGGGTGAGGAAGAGTGGGCAGCAAAGTGCATTAGGAAAGTGTTGTTATGTGGAATTGTTTCCATCTTCTCCTTACATTAAAAAAAAAAAGTTTAACGCGTAATCATGTACATCCTTCGGGTGCAGAAGGCTAAAGTGCATCAGAAAAGCAAATACTGAAGAGAAATTCTTTAAATAAATTCCAGTAGAACGAGTGAATTGCTTGAGTTAAATTTGTTCTGTAAATTTAAAATAAAATATTGCGAAGATTTTTGTCTCCTTATATAAAAATACGATTACTTTGACGCAAATAACGTCAAATAAAGACATTTGAGAATTGATTTTTCCTATAAGATTTATAAAGCCATTTGGTCAACACAAAGTTAACACATTGGAAGAAGCATTGTGAAAGATAATAATGTACCTAGGTCTGCCTTCCTTTGAATCTTTTTTTGTCCCATCAGCATCAAAAGCACTGTGAGGAAATCCATCAAAAGGATCCTGGAGCGACGAGTGGTATGTACGAAATCTATCCTGTGCCAAATGCTGATGCTATCGAGGTATACTGTGAACTTGACATTGCTGGTGGTGGCTTTACTTTCCTTCCTCAAAGCCTCACACTAAGATCAGATGCCCAGCAGATTGCCGACTCCCTCTTCAGAGACAAAAGAAACGTTTTGCTAAAGCTGAGGAATAAATTAAATGGCAGCGAGTCATATACGTTGATTCAGCCCCACCCAAATTACACCAACATTGATTTCGGGCTTTTGGTTAACAGCTACATCGGTTACATTCAACCAGAGAACGATTTCATGAAGGAATACATTTATCTCGGTATCATACCTAAGTCAGTTGCAAACAAGAACACAACCCAAGGTTTCAAATCCAACGGGGCCATAATCCAATTTGAAAACTGCGACGGGTATCCCAGCAGCATGTTTGCGTTTCTACCAAACCGAAATCGTGAGAACTCCAGTAGGTATCTTCTGGGTTCAGAGTACGAAAATACCGGTGTAGCCGTTGACTGGCGTTCCACGGCAACACCCATCACAAATCTACAACGCAAGATGCCGGAAACGCTCTACTTCTTTACAGAGGTCCATTTTGGAGGTTGTGGCGGGTACACTTCTAGTGACCGTTGGAATAAATATGGCTTTANTTAGAACTACATTCGTAGTTCTCGGGCAACTTCGGCTATAGAAACGAAAAAAGTGGCAGAAGATAGTCAAAACAAAGAAAACAGAAACACTGCAAGTGTCAACGACACTTACGAATTTGTTGTGCTACAAACACAGTTTGCTTTCTTTCCAGGGTCGCAAAGTAAACAAGTCGCTCTTGATTCTTATTAAAGCGATATCTTTTTGCAGTATAATAAATCATTTTTTAACCAAGCTTCAAGTTGTTCCGTCAAGAAGGCTAGATATTAGTCTCGTTTTTTTTTTTCGCAGAAAAATGACAAAAAAATAATCATAATAACTCGGCCAACATCCAGCCATCTTGACTTCACGCTTGGCTAATAACGCATATATAATGATAAAGAGCCTCACTGACAGTTAGATGTATCAACAAATGGTCACTCTTTCCAAAGGAATGATCAGACAGAGTTGCAATCAAGATAACTGTAAGTTAAGGCAATTGCAGTTTAATATTAACTCTAAATACATAACGCCACCGTTGTTCTTGTGCTGATATCCGGGCGTGAGATGACTTCATACAATGGCAAGTTGGGTTGTTTGTGCTTCCTCGTAAATGATTCTATCCGAAGTATTAACTAACACATGCAAGAACTAAGATAGTTCACTAACCTCCTTTCATCATATGGTGTGCAGAACTTGTACTATGAATAAGGATGCATTAAGGAGTAATCGTAGTATAAAACAGAGATGCCATAACACCTTCTAGGATGCAAATGTTAATTGCCGCCAAAATAATTAATTGCCAGATAAAGCTGTTGTATTTTATCTATAACACTGCTAATTATGTTTCGTTTAAGGGGAGTATTATCGGTAAAATTAAAAGGTATTCGAGCCTAGGGGTTGTATGTGTTTCCTTGTAAATGGTTCTATCTTAAAGCGGTAGTGCAAGAAATAAAGCAGTTCATTACAATCTGTTTTACTGCATTTTTAATGAAAGTTTTGGGAAACACTCAACTTGATCTCGAGTTTTTCCCTTTCAATATGCAACTCCGCTACACCTCTCCAAAGAACTCCATAATGAACATTTTCAAGACTAATTGCTGGCTGCTAAAGAGCAGATGTATTTTCTGATTCGTCTCCATTTTTTGAAATTTTGTATGTACTGAACAAGTCAAAAATGTCACCATAAATAGCTCTTTCAGAAGGCATGCTAAGTTCATCGAATTTCAACGATCGCTAATTTTGAATCATAAGTAGAATCCAAACTGAACATCAGTTGTATTTACGAGAACCAGAGCGTAGCTTCTGCAAAGACCGAGCCGCGCGCTTGATAACAGCGATGATATAAAAAGAGGCTTCTACGTTATTTTGATAGTTCTAACACTCGTCAATTCTCTTACTGATTTAAATACCCGGATCAAGGCTACACAAACTTCGCCAAAGGTGAGGAAAGCAGAGCTCCTTCATCAAGAACTTGTAAGTAAGAAACCATTTAGCGAGTGGCAAGCCACCCGATATAGAAAATATAATACTGATACTACCTCTTGGATCAAATATCGTGTCATGTATGCCAGAGATCTAATTTCTAACCTTCCCCACCCTAGTGGATTTCCGTGCACTGATTATTTTCTGGGGTTGTGGGGAGGCGAGAGTGACTTCTGAATGAATAAATTGCCATTATTCGGATACTTGTGTTTGCACAAAGGTCCCTGGAATCACCACGCGGCAAACATTGCAAGTTGCTAGAAGGAAATATATGGCGAAAGGTTGTTTCGACGTCCAAATATACGATTTTGGAGATACATTATCGCTTTTTGCCGCTGTTTTATTATGAATGGATTTAGGTAATGTTGATACGAGGAAAGCGTAAGGTTTTGTTTCAATAAAACTTACTGATAAACTTTTCTCCATGCATGATACATATGTTTACAGTCTCTGCCTGAGTTCCACTGATATATTACTGTTCCTGATAAGATCCTCTAACAAGTTCGAGGAGTAGAGTGTAAGCACAAAAAACCTTTCGATTTTCGACGTAAAGGAAACTATGCACTCTAAACAATGAAGTCCTTGCAGTGACTTTTATACCAGAAGAAGATTCAAAACATCACCCATCAAGCGTTTAAAAAAACAAAAACAGCACCGCCTGCATCATAATAAACTCTCTATTTACCGGACTGTCTTCGATGAGAAACTACAGAGACAATCTAAATATTTTGCCAAGTAACCCAAAAGTGAAAGAAGTATAACCTCAGCTTTTGTTTTATTCATTTAATTTTTTTTTCACCTTGCCGGGATTAAAGCGTTATACATCATTCACCTGTTTCCTTTTTCCGTTGGAGGCAGAAAAGTGTTCTAAGTCACCTTGTAAAGAAATCTGTAAATGTGCAACTACTACATTTTTCCAATTGAGTAAAAGTGTCCTGTAAAATAGGAAAGAGAGTCCTGATGGTAGTGCCCCCATTTTTCTTGGCGGTTGCAAAAGTTCTGACAGCGATACACACCAAATTAATGACCTCCCGTAACAAAAAAGTAGTTTCCCTATCGGAACATGAAATAAGTGTGGCCTTGGAAAACAATTCCATTACGACATCCTGACCCTAACTTCTCTCCATGGAGAAGACGTTTCACTTGCGAAGTTTTCGTCTGACTCATAACGGGTGGCAGTAATGAATAATAGAGTCCTCGTGGCTAATACGCCTATTCAATTTGGAGGTAAACGTTTTGTGCTGAATAGCATGCACCGCACAAGAGATCACGGAATCACAGAATGCTGGCAAACTTTAGGGGTATAGTGGAATGGATAAATATGGTACCAGCTATTATTTATCTTCGGACAAAATTTTAGCGGATTCCTATGGCTGTAGACTTAAAGTCAAATTTAGACCAGCGATCGCTAGAAGTATAACAACCACAACCTCCAAAACGGACTTCTGTCAAGAAGAAAAACCTTTCTGGCATTTTGTGCTTGGGAGACGTGATGGGCTTCGCCTCAGATCAAACTTTCAGAGTCAAACCCAATCTACGATATTTTCAAGGGAAATCTTAGTGACTAACATTTCCTCTCCTTATCTGCTGATATACGAACCTCAAGGAGTAGATAAGAAGCCGATCGCTGTAGTTCAATTTTTCAACTCCACTATAGTTTAACTCGCACAAACTATTCGCACCCTTTGATGTCTCCTAATTGTATGATATGCATCCTGGCTCGTCATGGCAAGCCTGAATACAGTTTAACCAGTCTCTGGCGAAGAACTGTCTGAAGGCATACCCTACCAGAACATGGTTATTTTCTGTCGATAGATGCAGCGTCGAAGTGATCTCTTGATTCAAAACCAGAAGGAAAGTAAAACAAAAAAGTCTCTCAATCATCTTAACGTACAAAGGAATAGAAAGAAAAACGGTGTGATCTTAAATGCTAATTTGGCGAAAAACAAAAGAATAACGTTTTTATTAAAAGACACCTGTCTATACTCAGTTCTAGTTCACTATGTCTCATACGTCAACTTACCAACCAAATAAATTGCTCATTAAAAAACGTAATCTTGGTAGTGCTAAAAACTAGTGTAGTCCTTTCGAGACAGAAAGCAACCCAATTTTGGTCACCACCAACAGCGTTACTTTATGGCTAGTAGGAAAAATAGAGATAATACAGCATGATCACATTCTTTCGTGCAAATGTTGGATAAATTATTTAAAACGTGCTTAAAACACAGTGTTTCTGTGGCTCAGAGTTAATTGTGCGCCACAGGCATTACATAAAATCAGTTGGAAACAATAGATGTAAACCACCGACGTAAAACGCTAGTGTTCTCGTGTACAAAGACAGGTCAATAAGCCAACAATTTAGAGTTATGTGCCCTGAAAATTCAAAATATTAATAAGTTGGCTAAAACAAACCAAATGGACAAAATAATTAGCTATAGTGTGCGACTCTAATTGCACTCATGCACTCATCAAACTGTGGTTTTAAGAGGCAGCTGATTCCGAGGCTTTTTAAAGAGTTTTCTGTAAATTTTCTTAGAATAAAGTAATAGTAAAGGTGGTAAAACGTCCTCGGTTTGAAGTTTCAAAATAATTTATGTTGATATCGGATATATCACTAATTAAAGGAATAAATTCAAGGCCTATCCAAGCCACGAGTAGTATTTGAACCTGTGACGAGTAGTATTTGAACCACGAGTAGTATTTGAACCTTTAACCTTGATCCGAAAATTCGTAATTGGATACTCCAGTTGATCGGTTTCTTTATCTTCATCACCTGTCGGGTTGACAACTTGTTGGGAGAAAGTATGATTTGACTGAAATATGCCTTTATGATATGCGACGTGCTGATGAATATGCTACCACTGCGCTTTGATAATCAAGAAGTCTCTTGTAACCCCCTTTTTAACACATCGCGCAACAGACGAATTTTGATATGCCACCCAAATGCCACCCAAATGCAGAATCCTACCGTGAAAAGACTCCCGAGCAAGTTTACAGGCAGCATGAGGGTGAGAAGAAACGTCAGTATGCCAACAGGGTTAGGGAGTTCGAACAAGGAACTTTTACGCCTTTAATATTTAGTACAACAGGTGGAATGGGCACAAAATGTAAAATATACCATAAACGTTTAGCTGAGTTAGTATCAAATAAGAAGGGAGAGAGCTATGCAAGCACCATGAACAGCGGTTGTATTAAGGCAATTAGAGCGTAGTTTCTGTAAAGACCAAGCTGCTTAAAAGGAACTTCTCGGTAAATTTAATTGTTCTGGCGCCCGTCAATTCTCTATACAAAGTCCCAGATTAGGGCTAGACAACCTTCGGCAAGGGTGAGGGATGCGGACCTCCTTCATCAAGAACTTATAAGCGTCCCTTAGAAACCACCTGATATAGAAAACATGATACTGATACTATCCCTTGAGTTAAATATCGTGTCATGAATACCAGAAATCTCTTTCTAACCCTAGCGGGTTTCCATCCGCTGACTGTTTCTTGGGATTGTGGGGGGGGAGGGGGGGACGAAAATGAATTCTCAACACCTCAATCCTAACACCTCAATTTCCTTTACACAATTGGATCCTGCAAATTTGTACATCAAGAATTGGTAAGACAAGATCGTAATGAGGTTATCCTCGTGTCCTTTTTTTCTTCGCGTCAAATGCACTGTATCAATTCAAAAGGTAAGGGAGGATTTAAGATTTAAGCGCTCTATAATGCAGTTTTGCGAAGAAGAAAAATCACTTCCAGGACTTTACTATTAGGATAAACTACGAAAGTAAGATCTAAGATTTTTTTATTTCTTCTTCTCCAATCTATGCGTTTGCTTAACGTTTTGAATATATTTATGTGCACGCTGTTCTTGATAATATAGTTTTTACAATTTTTACAATTCTTTTTAATACAGCCCACAATGTAAACTACTGGGTAACCAGTAATTGTGTTAGCTGTTAAAGTTTATTTATTTATCTATTTATCTCTGTCTCCCACTAAATTGAATACATTGATAATGCTTTTAAACCTTACGTCAACGAATGGCTGGTTAGGAAAGATTAACCAAAACTTACATCATTACCTTAAATTTTATCAACCCAAAGAATATTTACAGATAATACCTGGTCAGCTTCCAATATCCAGGTGCCGGGATTAAAACACTATACATTATTAACCTATCTTCCTTTTCCGTTGGAAGCTGAAAAGTGTTCTAAGTCACCTTAAAGAAAAAAAAATATGCAAATGTGCAATCATAACGTTTCTTCAATTGAGTAAAAGAGTCCTGTAAAATAGAAAAGAGGGTTCTGATGGTAACAATTTCTTCTGGGGGTTGCGAAAGCTGTAGCAGCCACACACGCCAAATTAATGCACCTCTACTACGGATAGGTAGTTGCCTTATAAAAACATGAATTAGGTGTGGCCTCGGAAAGCAATTCCACTGCGACATTCCGACTCAAACTCCTTTTCTTGGAGAATATATTTCGTATGCGAATTTTTCGTCTGACAGACAACGGGCGGGAGTGATGAATGATAGAGAGTCTGTAGTTGATACGCCTATTGGAAGTAAAATGGTTTGTGCCAAATAACAAGTACAAAATATCCTAAAACGTTCTAACTGCAAACTAGTACCAGCCATCTCTAATCTAGGAACGAAATTTTAGCGGATTCCAATTGCTGTAGAGTTGAAGCCAAATTTAGACCAGCGATCGCTAGAAGTATAACAGCCACCGCCTCCAAAGTGAAGTTCTGTGAAAAAGAAAAACCATTTTGGCATTTTGTGTTCGGGAGACGCAATGAGTTTTGCATTGGATCGCCAGTCTACAGCGACACCTGTTTTTTCGTACCTTAAATTCCTAGCATAATTGCTAGGTGTTTCACCATTTCGGTTTGGCATAAACGCAAACAAGCTGTTGGGATTTCCATCACTGCTTTCAAACTCGATCACCTCACCGTTGGATCTGAAACCCTGAGTTGTTTTCTTATTAGCAACAGATTTAGGAAGGATGCCAAGGAAGATGTATTCCTTCATAAAGGCGTTCTTTGGTTGAGTGTAACCATGGTAGCTGTCGACCAAAACGCCAAAATCAGTGTTGGTGTAATCTGGATGGGGCTGAATCAGAGTGTACCACTCGCTACCACCGACTTTTTTCTTTAACTTTAGCAATACGTTTGTTTTGTCTTTAAAGAGGGAGTCGACAATCTGCTGAGCATCTGACCCCGTTGTGAAGCTGTGAGGAAGGAAAGTGAAGCCACCACCAGCAATGTCAAGCTCACAGTATACCTCAATAGGTTCAGAATTTGGCCAAGGATCGATTAAACGTACGCCGCTTTTCGCCTTTGGATATTTCCTTTTAATTTCTTGGCAGTTCTTGAATAGACATTGCTTATTACAAAAACGAAAGAAATTGGGAAATAAGATCTTCTTCGAAATCATTCCTAAAAAGCGCATATTGCTCTCTTTGCAACACCAAGCAAACAGAAGCTACAGATATCAATACAAACGAACAATTGTGAAAGTTAAACCAGGATCTAAGAACTGTTAACTTCCAGAGTTGAGCACCATACTTAAACTTTTGTTAGAGTTTCGATAGCAGGAACCAAGAAGAAAGCTTCTCAGTTCTTAATTTTTTTTTCTCGTTTCAGCCTCTTTTTTTCCCTTTTTGTTCTCTTTTTTTTTTTGTCACACAAGGTTTTTACCTCAGCTGTAACATTTTCAAAGGAAAAACTGACCTTTCCTTTCCGGATTTGCTGATATACGAACCCCAAGGAATAGATAAGAAGCCGATTTTCGTGGCTAAATTTTTCAACTCCACAATCGTTTAACTCACAGAAACCATTCGCACCCTTTGATCTCTCGTAGTTGTATGAGATGCATCTTTCCTCATCATGGCAAGCCTGAATACAGTTTAACCAGTCTCTGGCAAAGAAATGTTTGAACGCATATTCTACCAGAACATGGTTATTTTCTGTCGATAAATGCAGCGTCGAAGTGATCGCTTGATTCAATAGCAGAAGGAAAGTGAAACGTAAAAGCTTCTTAATCATCTTAAAAGTTAAAAAAAATGGAAGACAAACGATGTGACCTTAAATGCTAATTTGGTGAGCAACTAAAGAATAACGTTTTTATTAAAAAACACCTGTCCATATTCAGTGCTAGTTCATTATGTCTTATACGTGAACTTACCAACCAAATAAATTGCACATTAAAAAAACATAACTAGTGTATTCTTTCTGAGATGGAAAGCGAGTCAATTTTAGTCCTCGCCAACAGCGTTACATTATGCCTAGTAGAAAAAATTGAGACCACACAGCACGATTGCATTCTTTGGTGCAAATGTCAGATAAATCATTTAAAACGTGCACTAAACGCGGTCTTTCTGAATTCTGGAATAGCTTATGGGGAACGTGGCTCATCGTTAATTGTGCGCCGCAGGTATTACATAAAATCAGTTGGAAACAACAGATGTAAATCACCGACGTAAAACGCATTATAATTAAACTAGCGTTCTCGTGTAGAAATATAGGTCAATAAGCCAACAATTTAGAGTTCCGTGCCCTGAAAATTCAAAATACAAATGAGTTGGCTAAAACAAACTAAATGGAAAAATTGATTAGTGCGTGACTCTAACTGCACTCATCAAACTGTGCTTTTAAGAGGCAGCTGATACCGAGTCAGTTATAATCAGTTTTATGTAAATTTTCTCAGAATAAAATAATAGGTGGTAAGTAAAACGTCTTCGGTTTGAAGTTTAAAAATAATATATGTTGATTTAGGATATATCACTATTTAAAGGAATGAATTCAAGGCCTATCCAGACCACGAGTAGTAATTGATCCTGTGACTTTGCTTCATCCGAAAATTCGGAATTGAATATTCCAGTTGATGGGTTTCTTTATCTTCATCACTTGTCCGGTTGACAACTTGTTGGGAGAAAGTATGATTTGACTGAAGTATGCCTTTATGATATGCGACGTGCTGATGAATATGCTACCACTGCGCTTTGATAATCAAGAAGTCTCTTGTAACCCCCTTTTTAACACATCGCGCAACAGACGAAATTTGATATATATATATCTTATTAACCAAGCGCGAGAGCCGTACTGGGAGAATATCGGCCCGAGGTCTTGACAGTACGGACCGAGCGCAGCGCGGTCCGTACAAAAAAGACCGAGGGCCGATATTCTTCCAGTACGGTCCCGAGCAAGCTTGGTTAATAAGAGATTTATTATACGACTGAAGTTCAAAGGGACACAAATGCGGTATCATTCGGGACCATTCGGGACAGTGCCCGGTCCAATACTGAGAGAGTATTGACCGGCAATAGAGCATTCTGATTGGTTGATTTTAGTTATTGGCCCTCTGACTGCCCGAGTCGTGTAATAAAAGAACTTTATTACAAAGCAGGCGACGTCAATGGCAAATACCACTGCTGTCGATCCATGCAAGTCCTTAGATCAATTTTTTGCTTGATCTAATCACGTGCCATTCTGATCTTTACCTCACACAAAAGTGGGAGAAACAACTCTATTGCAAGCTTTGTGGTGGTTGTCCATCGGATCCGATAATGACGTTTGCATTCTGCAACTCATCGATGCACGCGAAGGTGGCTCTGCAGTCCTAGCCTGGAGGCGCATAGTCTTGAGAAGTGGGGGCATCGGAAGTCCGTTGTTGTTATCATCCCAGAAGCAGCTCTGTGTCGCTTTTCTCTCACAACGGAGAGCCTCTGGTGTCGTGCTTCTTCGTAGTTGGCAGCAGCTTTGTGGATCAAGGATCTCCATTCTGGCCTGTTTCCAGCACGCTCCTCAAGTTCTTTCGGCTTGACGTGACACCACTGAATTTTTGCTTTCCGTGTCTTTGTAACGCAGTTTTGGGCGGCCTTGGTTTCTCTTGCCGAGCTGGAGCTTACCATACATGAGGCGTCTTGGCATCCTAAACTCCTCCATCCGAATGACATACCCGACCCATTGAAGTTGGGCCTTAATGAGCACGGTCTCAATGCTGGTGGAGTTGGCACGCTCCAGGACCTCGAGGTTGGTGATGTGGTCCTGCCAGCTGATACCGAGTATAGAACGGAGAACTCGCATGTGAAAGTTCTCCAGTTTTTTCACGTGTCTTCGATGCAGTGTCCATGTTTCACAACCGTAGAGGAGGGAAGAGAGTACCATAGCATTGTAGACCTTTAGTTCCGTTGATAACCGGATACTGTGTTGGTTTCGCACTCGGGTGCAGAGTATGCCAAGAGCCTGGCTAGCCTTGCCGACTCTGGAGGTGATCTCTTTGTTCAGGTAGCCATCTCAGGAAATGGTGCTGCCTAGGTACTTAAAGTGCTCGACATTGGCGAGTGATGAGTCGCCGATGACAATGCTGGGTGTGGGTGGTTGGGTGTTAGGTGCAAGTTGATGAAGCACGTCCGTCTTGCCAAGACCAACGATCAGGCCGAAGAGCTTTCAAGTCTAAGAGAAACGGTATAACGTTTTTTTGCAGGTCGGACTCTGCGTGGGCCACAAGAGCGCAGTCATCAGCAAAGAGGACTTTTTGCAGGAGGGTCTGCAGGCTCTTTGTCTTGGCAGTGAGACAACGCAGGTTGAAGAGGGAGCCTTCCGAACGGTAGCGAATGTAAACCCCCATCTCCAGGTCTCGGACGGCATGGGAAAGTATGGAGGCGAATAACACGTTGAATAGGACTGGAGCTAGGACACAGCCCTACTTCACACCGTTGCTGATTGTAAAGGCTTCCGTCACATTCCCACTAGAGATGAACTGTCCAGTCATACTGTTGTGTAAAAGCCTGATCATCGTTACAAACTTTGGCGGGCATCCGATACGCCTAAGTCTGTCCAGAGGGCCTCTCTATTGACCATTTAAAAAGCCTTCGTCAGATCTATGAAGACCGAGAATAAGGGCCTGTTTAGTTCAATACATTTCTCTTGAAGTTGTCTCATGGCAAAAATCATATCAACATTACTTCTACCGGGCCTGAAACCGCACTGTGCCTCTGGGAGGCTCAGCTCAGATGCTGTGATAAGTCTGTTGAGTATGACTCTGGCAAAGATCTTCCCAATGACAGAGAGTAGGGAGATAGCCCTGTATTTGCCACAGTCGGATTTGCTTCCCTTGTTCTTTTAGATGGAGACAATAAGGGCATAACGGAAGTCATCTGCCATTTCGTCCTCTTCCCAGATACTCAGCTCGAGGGCGTTGGGGCCTGCCGCCTTGTAGATCTCGGCAGGAATGCCATCCTTTCCCGACGCTCTGCCCGAGTTCACCTGACAGATCGCCTTCTTCATTTCGTCTATGGTCGGGGGCTTTGCCAGCCAGTCTTGCGTTGGCTGCTGAGGGATCTGGCTCAGTGCGTCTGCGTCAACTGATGAGGGTCGGTTAAGTAGGTTGCTGAAGTGCTCATGCCAGCGCTTTGTCAAGCCCTCTTGGTCTTTGATTAAGGTCGAACCGTCCGAGGAAAGCAACGGGGAGTAGCCTGATGCGGAGGGGCCAAAGACTGTCTTTAGAGCACTGAAGAACTTCTTGGAATTGTGGGTATCCGCGTAGCGCTGGACTTCGGTCGCTTTTTCCTGCCACCAGTGGTCCTGCATCAGTGGAAGGTCGGTCTGGACTGTTGCCTGCAGAATTTTGAATCTTTCACGCTTGAAGATGGAGCACAGGTCATTCTGCCACTCGATGTAAGCCTTGTTCTTAGCATGGAGGACTTCTCTGGCACACGCCTTATGCTGCCATCGTTCAACTTAAAACACATGCGTAAGTCATGGTCATATTTAACTACTAAGCTTTGGAATGGTTTGCGTACTAGAGTCAGGGAATGTCCACACTTGCCCGCTTTTAGGCGCGCGTTGCATTGGTTTATGGCGAGGCTTTAACTCTATTTTTAACGCACTTTCGCTTAATAATTATATAGTACATATAAATTAGATAAAATATAGCTTTTCAATACTTTTATCTTTTAATATTAGTTCCTATTAGCTCATGATTTGTAACTAGTTTCACGTTCACGTTTTAAACGAGCTATTAGCTCTTAGGTGATACGTGGGTAAATAAAGTATTATTATTATTATTAAAGTATTACTGTTATCTGACCTTGTCATTGTCTTCGTCGAACCAGTCTTCATGCCTTCTAGTTTTAGCTCCAAGCACTTCCTTTGCAGTATCGACAACGGTACATTTGAAGGAGGACCATCTCCTGGAGCCGCTTTCGGAGGTCAGACCATCTTGGAGTTTTTCGTCAAGAACTTCTTGGAACTTTGCCAGGCAGGTTGGATTCTTCAGCCTGGTAACATTGTAGGAGGCCCTGACAGTCTTAGATCGATTTCTGTGAGGTGGAGGGATGTACAGTGTTATTATAGCCCTGACCAGCCTGTGATCAGTCCAGCATTCAGCACCTCTCATGGCGCGGGTGACTCGGACGTCGCTAATTTCACGTTGGCGTACAATGACAAAGTCGACCAAGTGCCAGTGCTGAGACCTCGGATGCATCCAGGTGTTGTTGTACTTGTCTGCCATCCTGAACAAGGTGTTGGTGATGCAAAGGCTGTGTTCTGCACACTTGCTGAGAAGAAGCAGACCGTTGTCATTGACCTTGCCTACACCGTGTCTACCCAGAACGCCTTTCCAATTGCTGGGGTCCTTTCCTACTCAAGCGTTGAAATCACCGAGCACAACAAGTTTGTCACTCTGTGAGGTTGACCTGATGACCCGGTCAAAGTTTTCATAGAACTTCTCTTTGTCTTCATCCCGGCTGGCGGACATAGGAGCATATGCAATGATGACAGTGAGGTATCTGGACTTGCTGAGAAGAATGTGCAATTTAATGAGGCGTTCGCTGATTCCAACTGGGATGGCTGGTATGTTCTTCAGCAGTGCTGTTCTAATGGCAAACCAACACCGTGTATCCTGTCCTCTCCTCGCAGCTTTCCTTTCCAGAAGAAGGTGTACCCACCTCGCTCTTCTCTCAGGGACCCTTCATCAGCAAGGCGGGTTTCACTGAGTGCGGCAATGTCTATTCGGTTTCGCTGGAGCTCTTTTGCAACTAGCGCCGTTCTTCTCTCCGGTCTCAATGAACCGGCTCTATCCAGAAGTGTTCGGACATTCCAGGCTCCCAAAATGAACCTTTGTTTTTCTTCTTTAGCATTTTTCCACCACTGTGAGGATGAGTCTGTTAGTCGAGGTAATCTGACCAGACGCTAGAAGGGCAAGAATTTAGCTGGGGCACCCTTTCTGGCCCCCTCCCTCATGTGAGGGTGAGCAGTGCTGTCGTAAATAGGCTGCTCAGTCGTCCATTGGTGCTGCCGAACTGTCCTATTGCCCTTGGATTCAGGAGCAGAGCGACTTCTTGCTCATGGGTCGCCTGCGTGCTTGTTTTTTGACTACAACCGCCTGTGATCATCTCCATCTGTTGCTTCGCCACGCGTCCATCGCCGCAGGACTTGGAGAAAGGAATGCGTTGACAGATCGGTGATAAGTTGCAAAAGGGACCTGTGCGTGAAGGCTTTATAGTGAGAAGACCGTTGCACAGTGGCAATCCCACTCTCTCGGCCTGGGGAGTCTGCATCCAGTGGCACGGGGAACGTTACGACGGGAGACTGCCAGGCTGCAGTGGATGACCAAGACGTTTAACGCTATGTTCAGAGTATGCCTTGATTTTACTGCTGGGCAACGCTCTCTAAAGTGTTTGACTTTGCATAGGCACCGAAGGCCAGTCGCCTTTGGTAACGTAGTTACAAATTTTGCCGCAACAACAGAGCACATCATATTTCATGATTATGTGATCATTTGTTTGTTTTTTTTTTTAACCGAGTTGATATTGTAAATTGGCCATTGGAAATAATTTCTAAAAGCTGACGTTTCTAGCTTTATCCCTTTAACAGAGTGAATGCAAAAAGGACCAACACTCGAAACGTCAGATTTAGAAGTTATTTGCAGTGGCCAATCTACACACACCGACGCAGCACTACACACTATGAAATCTTAAAACTAATCCTTATCATTACATCGCAAAGGAAAGTCATTATGAGATATCCTGATAGGAGCTTAATTTTGAGGGCAGAATATTTAAAAGCGTTAGCGAATGGCAGACGTCCCAAGGGCCCTATATGAACACCATAGAGTTATTCATTGATCAAGTGTCTCCTTTCATTGCTTTAATTCAAATGTCCTTCATTCAGTGATCAAGATAGTAGACTTAGCATATAATACTCGCGATTAGTTAATTTGCTTTTACTTTGGAAAGTATAAAAACAACAGGATTGAGCACATATGGGAAATGTCCTTACAGTAGTAACGCTATGTAACGCAATACGCTAAACACAACAGTCGTAGTGCAGTTAGTAAAAAGGGATGAATTCGAGAATTCGCATCCTCTATATTCTTTTCCAATCCTGGTTATGATGCTCCTCGCTCGCTACGCTCGCTTCGTAATAAAAACGTATGATAGACGATTTTTTCATCGCGAACGTCAGAAGTTTGTACTGCTTATATACCATATAGGCCAAAAAAAAGCTTGATCTTGACCCCTTTATTCCTTAGTTCCCAGGTGTATAGTTTTATGGCAATGAGGAGATCTTACTTCATCATGTTGGCCTTTGAACTCAATTGAACTTTTATTAGACCATGAGATGGACCCAACTATGAGAGCCAGTAAAGATCCTGCTGACTCCATAAATAAGAACGGAGTGCAAAATCTATGAACAGTGCGAATTACATTTATCTCCTTGCACTGCCGTTCCCTAATGGTGCTGCTGGGGAGGTTTTTTTTTTTCTAGGTTTTTCTTCCTTATGGTGTAAATGACCGTCACAACCATGCGCCAAGTCAATGCTTTCTGCTGAGACCACAGTTATTCCCACTAGGAGTAGTAAGTCAAATGCTGCAGCAAGCTTGCATTTGAACATTGCGTAAGTGTTTTGAAGAATTGAAACAGACAGCTGGAGCCAACAAAACAGAAGTTCAGAAAAGTTTTTTTTTTCAGTAATTTAAACAAACTATTTCAATTATGGAGGCTTATTGTGTGAGCTTGGATTACCTATGCTGAAATGCGAAAAAATAAAAAAATAAAACGCTAAAATCGTTCGTTTAATGAAAGGTACATTCTGAGGCTTGAATGAATTCTGTTACTGTGTTAGTGTAACGTTCAAGTTTACCGACTTGCGGAAGAGTTTACTTCCGTTGCTACTTAGGTGCCGATCAATTCCTTAGCATTAAGCCAAGACATCTAGCGCCCTTGCCTTGAGAAGGTGTTGCCTGTTTTTCGTATTTCAATTATTTATTCGGCTGTTGATTCGTTCGTATATTGCTTTGTTTTTTTTTTTTTGTTTGTTTTTTTTTTTCCTTTTTGTTTTTTTCTTCCAGTATAATTATCATCTTAGGATACGAATTTAAAAATCTCTCAATTCCTGATTTTACCACGTAGTTTCTAGTAGCTACAACATACTGAAATATGTAGAGAGTGGCACGTTTAAATTAATGATCAGTAACTCCGTGCCTTGGTTCTGGAGCGAGTGGTGGACTTTGGAAGGACCAACCATTAGAAAGTGAGGTTGTTTTCCGTAAAAACGTACAGGCTATATTTACAAAGCCAGAGGTGTTTTCAAGGCACCTAAAATTATTCCGTTAAAACCCCTTATCGCCCCTAAATCACCTAATATATGCACCTTCACCTGAAGCTAGTTCAAATCGCACTCAGCCTTTTTAGTGGCAAGAATAAATTAACTACATTTGGTTAGCCAGACTATATTTCATTCAAGTACAATTACTTACTAGGAGGGAAGGCCTTTCTACGTACCTGGGTGTTCTCAAATTTCAAAAAGTACCAATCAGCAAGAGAATCTCTTGCAACAAAAGTGATTAATTACGTCGCTGGAGAGAGAGAGAGAGAGAGAGAGAAAAATAATTACCGAGTACTCAATTTTAGAAATCTGGGAACCAACTTGTCCAGAGGCCTCTGCGAGCTATGCACACACCGCTTGCAAAGGCATCTGGGAGGTAAACGGAAGTGGACTCAATAAACGAAATTTGCTCATTGAGCATTTCTGACAGCCTGTCGTCACGACGCGAGAGTGCACTTCAGCTGTAATCATGGCTCCCAGAGGACATTTTACTACAGGAAGTCTTTCAGCGTTCCTTTTCCTCGGAATAATCAGAGGAACTTTTCCTGTGGTGATGTATTTCGCGGTACATTCTTACCAGTCACCGAGTTTCGTCTTTCTTCTTCGAACGCCAGGGACTGTAGTGCTCTATATTGTTTACATGACGTTCCTTTCGTACATGGACAGCGAACATAAAGAAAATTTTCGAAATAACTTCAGATCAGTAAGGAATCACTGGAAATTTGCTGTGATGGGTTTTGTTCAGTTAGCTGCTCCTTATGTTCTGTTTATGTACGGGTTGAAAGTATTAAGTCCTACTACAGCCGGAGTGTTTATGACGGCAGCTCCGTGGTTTTCACTTCTTTTAGAAAGGCTGCCTTGCATTAGGGTAAGTATTTGGCATTGTACAGTTTTTTGTTTTGTTTTGTTTTGTTTTTTTTTCGCTTGTTCAGTAGTTTCATAGATTAAAACTAATGTCTTGTAAACAACGATCTAAAATAGATCGACTTTTTTGTAGCATCTGAAACGTTCGAAAATATACTTTTCAGTTGAGAATGATTCTTGTTGATTATACTGTATATAGTTGTGCAGTGCTTCTTCTACGAGTTCTGGATGCACGCGAGAAGTTTGTCGAGATCGAAAGAGCGCAGGGAGTTGTACATGTAAATTTGTCCCCTGGAAACGACGATCTGAAATAGATCGACGTTGTTATGTTAGGCAATTGCAACATTCGTGTCAAAAATGTAATTTTCAGGCGAGCATGGTTCGTCTAGCAGTTGTGCAATGTGTTTTTGTACTGTTCTGCTTGCACGTGAGAAGTTCGAGGAGCTCGTGAGAACGTGTACAGTTTTACATTCGAATTCAGCTCAATTACAGACAACGATCTGAAATATTTATCAGTGTTGTTTCGTCGAGTTTTTGAGACGGATGCCAAAAATGTACCCTGTAGTCGAGAATTCAGGTTCGTGTTCAGCACGTGATCTTTTATCGAGTTTTGTATGCATGCGAAAAGTTTGTTGAGCTGGAGAGACCTCATGGAGTCGCAACAAAACTTGATAGGAACTAGAAAATGTTGATTATGATATATTCTGTTGGTTTGGCTTTAAGCTGTGCAACCGCATAGTTGTAAAGGAATTAAATGGTCAGTGCACAGGCCATTCTTATTGCCTGCCAACGACAAAATTTGATCGCTGATAACTTGAGACTCGCCACTTTTTTCATGGAACTTATTTTTCTTTATTTCTCATTTTAAAATGTTTAAGATGAATGACCAGTCTCTTAGTAGTGCTGTTCTTTATGTTTGTGATGTCAAAAATATTAGAGCTGGTGAAGGAACAACAACAACAACAACAACAACAACAACAACCATAACAACAACAAAATTTAAGGGACAACAACAAGAAGTTAATGGAAGACTTGCTTAATTCCACTACAGCCACCAGCATTTTTTTCTCAGCTGAATTTTTAATCTACTATCTTCTGTCTCTTTGATGAATAGCTGTATAAATTATGGGAAGGAAAGGTACCTTTTTAATATTTGTCATCAGCCAGAACTCTGAAAGTGAAATTTCACTTTTGCATCAGTCATGCTTCAACATAGTCTTTTACTTCAGAGTCCTCATCTCTTGCTCTACAAGTCCTACATTAATTACAACTTGAGTATTGTTATTTTTCCAGGCATAGCTTGGAAGGGTTCTTTTTTAAAACAAATTAGATAGAGATTCCATTTTTCTGATGTCTGTCTACTTCAGGGGGTGCCAGACATGCACGCCACATTTTAAGTCTCTTGCCACATTTTGACATTGTCAGCATAATCAATGGAATCCACTTCAATTGTTATATGTAGATAGAAATAATCCACCATTTTCACCCTTGCTTTCTTAAGATAAGTACTTTTTTTCATCACTATCTTCCAAACAATTCTTATGATTTTAGTTTGAAGAATTAGATATTAGATTAACTTATGATCTCCTAATTGTAATAAGCAATTGGATGAGGTTGAGCAGGATATTATGAATTCTCAATGCCAAGGTCTGAATTATCTGCTAAAGCCTAAGGCTGCGGCAGATAACAGACTGAAGTTTGAAAATCTGATCCTGATATCAAGCAAAAATATAATTCAATAATTGTTTTAATATGCTTATTTCAAACAAACTGCAAAAGAAGACAGTTCTCACTGAATTATTAAAGGTTTGAGATCTCTGCATTGACAACTGGGGCTAATGGCAACTAGGTAGACGTCAAACTTGATATGATTAACCCAATATCTGTTGCAGATACTGGGTTATCATGTCAACTTCACACACTGTTGTGAATAATGACTGTATACCCTTGACCAATCAGAGTTTTCATAGTAAATCCAATGTATAATAATTGTCTTTTCTTAAACTCATCACCTGTCTGCTTGATATTGCATTGATATTGTAAAGAGAAATTCTGTCTTTATCTAACTCGGAGGGTTGGGGTTTTATCAACTGAGTCGATAATATAAATTGGCCACCTAAAGAGTTTGAAAGCTGTCATTTTAAGCATAATAGCCCTTCACCATTGGCTCTGACAAATGGCTAATGCTCAAAATGTCAGCTTTTGAACTCTTTATGGTGACCATTGATTTACATTTATCAACTTGATTGATTAAACCCCAGTCACCTTGTTACTCCCATGGACGCAGCATTACAGTTTCTTTAGAACCTTACCCCTTTAACTCATGGGAGTTATTTAGCGTTAAGAGCTTAATACTTGTATTTCTATCAGTATCACAAATGGCGTGAGATACCAGCCCAAATATATCTTATTGTTTTTCTTACTTTTAATGTATTATTTTATTTTAATCTGTGTCTCCTTTACATGTTAAGTCCACGTATCAAGTTTCTACTAGCAAACTTGGTGCAATTGTCATTGGATCTCTTGGAATCATTTTGGTCTCTGGATCAGGAATTGGTTTAGCTGCAAAGAGTCACAAACATTGTCAACTAAATAACACTGCAGCCGCACCCTTAGTGAACATTAGTGAAAATGCAACTACATTGCCTTCAACAGAGGTACAAGGCAAGTTTTGTACTCCATTTTCAGCTGCAGAGCTAGCTGGATCCTTACTGGCTCTTTTGGGTGGATCAGTAATGTGGTCAGTGAGCTCAGGTAAGTTTTTCACAGGTTGTTCTTATTCATTGTTCTCTTGGCATAAGATATAAAAAATACAATAAAGATAATATTAGTCGCCCCCTTACAGAGCCTGGTTTTGGTCTTTGCAGATGTTTTGGAAGAGAAACACCCTTCTTTATTCAGAGTGCATAATTAACCTTGTGTTTCTCTTCTGAAATGTCTGCAAGACCAAAACCAGACTCTGTAAAAATAACTTGAAGGTGCTGGTATCTATTTATTTCTGTTCGCTATGCCGGAGTATTTAATAGACAACTTCTTTTATTAAAAAAAAAAAAAAAAAAAAAATTTAAAATAAGACACCTAAAGATTGAGTGGGGATCTTTTTAGATAATTATTATTAATGCAAAAAAACTTTAAAATGCTCAGAAAGGAATCATTTTGTAAAACCTCAGAGGCTTAATAAAAGCCTTGTTCAGAAAAGTTTTGAAACAGTTCAGATGGGATAGATCTCCATAATAGAGTGACCAAAGTTGACAGGGGCAGAATATCATATTTAGATCAAAGAAACCGATAAGAGAAACAAAGGAAAGAAGAGAACAAAAAATTTGAAATCTGCGATCTTGAAGCAAATAGCATAAATTTAGAGGAAAGTGGGGGTGGGGAGTTAGCCAATATCTGTTTTGCCACAGAAGAGTTATTTTATTTGTATCTGCGAGGGTTAAAAGCTAGTCATCATCTGGAGGAATCATACAATTTGTATGAAGACACAGATGCCGGCAGGCCCTGCAAATCATTGATGTCATTTTAGATTCTTTGGTGGTGTTTAGATTCTCATAAAGAAGGAAGTAAAGGGGGCAGGTCCTGGTCATGTTTTATTTTAATTTGTAAAATTCATGCATCACATGTATTTAAACAGCATTTTTGGCTTCACTTACCAAGAAAAATTCAAGAAAACATTCAAATGTCTCTTTTTGTGTGCTAGGTTTCAGGGAAATCTTGAGGTTTTCATGAAATGAATAAAGAATTCAAGTGTAACAAATACTTCAGGGAGTTTGGGGCTCTGTAAAATTCATGCATTGCATACATGTATGGATTTTGGGCTTAATCAAGTGTCACATATAAACCCATTCGCCACTCTCTTAAAAGAAGAGTGCAAATATCAGGAGTACCGGCCTACAATCAAGAACAAAATTGGTGGTCAACACATTGATCTTTTTAACGCCCAGTTGCTTCAGTTTTGTCTTTGTTGCCATTGTCAAATTAACCTATTGCCCCCTCCTCCCTTTAAAACAAACAAAACAAAAACCGATGCTGTATCATGATTCCATGAACTTTTAGCCAGTATTGAATGGGAGAAGAGGGCTTTTAATGATCTCTAGTGTGTTTTTTTTTTGTTTTGTTTTTTTTTTTTGTTTTTTATCAACAACCTTTATTTATTCTAATTTCTAATGACTATTTTAACAAATTGGACAATGCCAAAGGTAGCTAGCTGATCTAGGTGGGTCGTGTCTTAACTAAGAAAAAAAGTTGGTATACAAGTTTACAGAAATCGGGAATTCTTCCTTTACATAAATAGAACTGTTTGGACATGATGTGTCAACTAATTTTGACACTGATTGTAGAATCAAAGCATAAGTTTTGTTACCAAAGAGGGGAACTATTAGTTTATAGAATGTACAATAGTTACTGTTCAGTAGCTCTTGAACTTCCATTATTATCCCATCATCATCATGAAACTGAATTGCTTGTTCTACTTGAACGTCCAGTAGATTGATAGTATGTTACAATGAATATATGAAGTTCATATATTTTGAACTACGGTATTAGATACGTATGATGCACGATCCTCCACAAAATATTGAACTGCGATCATGTTCTTCTACAGTATTTTGGCGCTCAAAGAGAGGAAATATTCACTATGTCAGTGGTGGTATTGGTAACAACATTTTTGGTGGGATTTTTGCTCTTGTTCTTTTCCTTGTAATGCAAAAGCATGAAGATTATGCTAAGGTAAAGTGCATTAAGATAATAAACCTGATATGCAGATGTGAAGATAGGTTGATCTGTATTTTCTAGTGTGCCCCATCAAAAAAATGCAAAAGTGAGTGTGCATTGTTTCAATAGGAAATTAGATTTTGAACTTCTATATCTAACTTTAATGTGTGTGAGTTATAATTTTGTGCATTTTTGTAACTTTGATTTGTTTTTCTGATTCCTACTGTGCCACTAAATTGGGTCACATCTGGTATGAGATGTGTTTATCACAAGTATGATTACAGACCAAATCGGATGACAGAAAGTCCTATTAATAATTACTCATAAAAATAATTTCCAAGAAAAGAAAAATAGAATTTATGACAAAAAGGGAAAATTTGCATTAAGTGACTGAAAACTTTGAATGTGATTGGCTTATTGAGCTGTCTGATAACAAATTGCCCAATAACAACTTGGCAAGTGAATTAGTGGAAAATAAGAGTTTTTTTTTTTTTTAAACTAACCACAATTAAGGAAATTGTATTTTTTACGATTAGATATTTAAGACCAGTGATAAAAGATCAGTTTGAGATACACTTCTAGAAAGGATTTGCAATTATTTGGTTCTTTATTGTAGATAAACTGGGGAGATGGCACAGCAGTTTTCTCTATAATTTTCCTGACCTTAGTATCTGGATGGCTGGCCGCTCTTTTGGTGGATTACATGTTTAATGAAGTCGGTAGGAATATTAACTGACTTGTTATTCCATTCTTAAATTTTTTCGTCTCTCAATTCTCCAGTAGACCTTTATAGCCTATATTGGCAACCAGTTTTCGTGTTGATGTGTTCAATTTTTTTTCATTTGTCACTACTTGTAGCTTTGGCAACGAAGAGTACAATACAGATTGTTGATGTTGTTGAGACGTCCATCACGTCCATGAGAAATTGTAAATTTATCACATTACTATCAGTTATTGGAATATTCGTCATCATCAGTCTTCTTCGTGCTCTGTTGCGCATAAGGCCTTGATACTTCTCTTACAACGGTCCCGGTCTCTTGCAATAATCCTCGCTTCTTCCCACGACTTCCAACCTGCCTCACTTCTTTCCTTTTCAATCAATCGCCTCCAAGTTGTTTTGGGCGTGGCCACCTTTCTCTTACTGTCTGGTGACCATGTGAGGGCTATTACACAGTCTTGGAATATTGCCCCTGCTGAAAAGCGTGAAGACCTAGCAAAGTGTTAAAATTCAGAAGGAAATTTGCATTTGCTCGAATTTTCAGGGCCAATAAATCGCATCAGCTGAAACAATAGGTATCCCGTGTATTCGACGAATCTTTTACACATTTTTTTCGGTGAATTAAAATTCTTCACTTTTCTTAGGAAAGACTGAAACTCTTAACTTTCTTCAAATCTCACTACTTTGCGCAATAGTTCACTTAACTGTGCATTTGGGTTTAAGGCCTTCGAAATCAGTTAACATCAGATTAATTTTTTTCTCCCAGGGGCTGTGATAGCTAACCGCGTCTTATGCCTGGTCCCAATAGTAGTGTGGCTCGAGGATTGGATGTTTGTTAGAAAATTTGAGATGCTGGATGTGGGATACATTATCTCCGAGGTTGTGGGTAAGTCAGTAACTTTAAAAAGGTTTCCGTCTTCACTGTAGAGCAGCAATTTGGAAACTGGAAAGCCTTTACATCTTAACCCTGTGGATAACAAAGAAGATGAAACTAGATTGCTATATTCGTCATCGTCATCGACAGCTTCATCTTCGTCATTGTAACTCCCGCACTTGTCATCATTATCACCATCATTATCGTCAAACTCGAATGCTATATTTGTCATCGTCATCATTATCATCCCCGTACTTGTCATCACTATCACCATCCTTATCGACATCACCACTCTCGTCGTCATTATCATAATCGCTATCACATAACCGAACACCATCACTAACCGATTTGTTTTAAAGGAAACTCTAAATGGTCTGCGTCGTCGTAACTCCATAAGTTGATCTCGGTTATCGAAAGGCAGTAAGTGGTACAAACAATCCAAGGGATTGGAGACGATATTGTTAAAGAATTTTAAGCAAAGGTCTTCTCTCCGATCCCTTAGGGTTTTCAGCTCTGCCATCTGAAGCACTTCTCTATAATGATTATCATAACCGTATATAATTTTCAAGGCTCTCTTTTGGACACGCTCTAAACTTAAGCTCAAATAATTGGGGATACTATAATGGTAGACCCGACATCTATAAAGTAAGACAGATTGAATACAAGCAACATAAAA